CAGCCCCCGGCAGTGGGAGCGAGGGTAGCGGCTCCTCGAAGCAGGGTGCCACGGTGCCGACGGTGGCCACCGCCCCCAGATCGTACCTGGTCGCGGTGGGTGGCAAGCCGTGCGTTGGTATCTCGTATTCCCCGCTGAACCTTTTGCCGTAGTACGAGTCGTACTTATCAAACACTTTAACGCCATCTGCACTCAGACTTGCAGCGGCAAACGCGACGACGCTTGTCCCAACGTCGTCGTCGTCGTCGTCGTCGTCGTCGACCGGTTCGCCATCGACGTTAATCCCGGCGACACCGACGCCGTTCCTTCCCTCGTCCTCGTCCTCGTCGTCGTCCTCCTTCTTCGGCCTCTCGATCAGAAGGTACCGCGGCAACACTTGAATGAACACCACCCGCACCCATTTGGCCATACGATGGGTGACGGGTGAACGAAAGTTCACGTTCAACACGGCTATCGTCACCACCACGGACAGGGTGACCAGCACCATCGTGAACAGGAGATACTTGCCGAGCAACGGCACCGTTAACGACGTGGGCGGTATGATCTCGGCCAACAGTAGGAAAAACACCGTCAACGACAACAGTATCGAGATCGACAGCGATACTTTCTCGCCGCTGTCGCTAGGAAGGTAGAACACCAGCACCGAGAGGAAAGATATGCCCACGCACGGTATGATCAGATTCACCGTGTAGAAGAGGGTCTTGCGGCGCAGGGTGATATTGAACACGATATCTGGATAGGGCTCCTCGCAGCATATGTAGAACGCCTCGTTCCTCACGGCAGGCACTTTTATGATGTCCCACTCGACGGAAATGTAGTAGTCGGTCAGGTCGATCCCGACCTCGATCCGGTTCGAGTCCTCCGTCTGGTGCAGGTGTCGTAGATCCACCTGCGAACAGTCGTTTCCATCGATTTTAGTCCGCGGATAACTTCCGAAATTCTTCGACAATTTCGAACGGCAACGATTCCTTTAAAGATTACCGCATCCCTATGTAATCGAGGACCGAGATAAGGGGCATTACTCGAAAGGAGTCGTTTCACGGAGGTTAGGTATATTCGTGCGCGTGTACGTGCCTGAGAGTTAAACAGACACAAAGAAAGAGGGGCGATGAATAATAAGGGGTATTTCATAAGATGTCGTATAACTGGGAAATGAGGGATTCTTCAGCCAAAAATAAAATGGCTACGAAGGACAACTCCCGACGAGAATAATCACCATTTTTTTCTACAACGAGTAACTTACAGACGTACTTCGTGAAACTCTCACGATCTTCCGTTATGCTTTACGTTACTTTACCTTCCTCCGCGCTATCGCGTAACGCTTTTCCGAGACCGCAACAAGATTTTTTTCAAACAGGATACGAAATATCCTTCTCGTTCTATTCCCTGGCGCATAGCGACGGATCCAATTGTTTAAAGAAAAGAAGCAGAAAACGGACAAGGAGAGAGGAGGAAAGAAATTGGATACCTCTAATGGGTGCTAGAATAGGTAGCGGATTCCCTGGAAGCCGTCGAATATAGGAACGGGTATAAACTCTGAAGAGTGGAGCCGAATCTCTCTACCATCGAACTTCTGCCGCTAGCAGGATGCTCCTTGATCCTCTCTGGACCACTTTTAAGATCTCGATAGCAAAAAGATCGCCACGCGTTAACCACACCCCTTTCTTTCTTTTATCAGGACTCTTCTCTTGGCTAAATAACTTCGATGCCCAACGAATCGTTCATTTACGGTAAAAAGAGTATTCGAGCGATATCAACGAACCGGTTAAAATGCGCGTTCGAAAGGACGGTGACCAGCAATGGTCGCTCAACGCCACAGGAATGGTTTATCGTTTCACGCGCGGGATTTATTCCCGCAACGGTGTGTTCACTGGTGAAATCCACGGACAGGTGGATTTGTCGGCGAGGGACAAATCTACCCGTTCACGCGCAGAAGATACGCTCGTGGGGAGCAGACGACGAAAAGGACTTTGACCTACCGTAATAACGCATTGTAACGTTTCGTCCGTTACATTCTACACTTAATTACTGATCGCGTTACTGCACCGTTACTATTGCTGCTATAATCGCTGTACATTCAGACTTAGGAATAATCTGAACCCAGAGGAAGCTTAGACCTCCGACTAAATTACGGCTAAGTAGATGATAGTTGCTGGAGAAGTTTGCAGTTTCGCGAACAGCGTTTAATGCGCGCGAGATTACGGTAATGTTTAATTGGCAGAGTTGGCGAAGGAAAAGCAAAGGAGATTGGTTCGATGCGTCTGCCTGTCGCTTCTCCGTAAGAAGACTCTCGTCTCGAGGAAGCTGGAAGGAAAATTCCGACGGAAAAAGTTCTTCGACCAGGCATCAACGAACGGAATCGACGAATCGTGGCATTTTATTGACATCTGTTAGCGCGTTGCTCTTGTATCGAGAGATCCACGAAATTCCAAGGATATTCTCGGATGGAACAGCTCACGGTGAGAAGCAACGTTGAAAGCTGCCAAGAGTAATCGATAAATCGCCACGTTTCGTTGTAAATCGTTCTACCCTTTCGTCTGAACGAGAACGCTCGGTGAAAGGCATCGATCAATGGCATAATTCTACACGATTTTTGATCAACTTCATCCGAACGAACGATATTTCCTTTGAAGGCGAAACAGACGCGTTAATAGAATCGATGAAAGGGTCGACTTCTCTCGGAGAATTGAATGGTAACGCGCTTCATCCGCGAGACAGAAAACGGTTGATCGCTCGAAACAGATAAACGCTAGTCATAAAGTGTTGCCAATGCGAGCTCTGCTTTCTCCGCGTGAACTTTCTTCTGCTCATCGAGCGTTCGCGCAAAATGGATTCCATTCCAACCGAGACCCTTGACGATCCATTGTTCCGAGACTTCTTGGAACTATCGCGCGTCTCTCGTTTCCAAGTTTAGATGCTTTTCCATCATCGTAGACAACTTTATGGAGATTCCGAATGACTACGATAAGGATAACGACCGAAGCCGATGAACGTCATCGAGGTACGACAGAGAATTAAGCTCGTCCGATGGAAACGAATACCTAAAGTTCCTTTACTTCTATCTTCGGAGACTACCGATGTAGCGTGGAAGAAATGACGCGATTTATGGACGGAAATTAGGAAGTTTTCCGTGGTTTCCAAAAAGTATGGAACAAAGGAGACAAAGCTCCGAAAGTTTCTAACGTTTCGGTTTCTTAACTCCGAATAGGCGTGCCATCGAGTTATTAATATTAAGTCAAATAGCAGAGAATAAGTGGGTCACGTGGAAAGTTTGGAGAATCGCGAAAGAACGGTTAACCATTTAGGTATAATGCGTACTTCTTCTCTGCTTGTACGTAGAGCAAACAGATGGCGCTACCTCGCGCAAAAATGGCAAATTCGCAAAACTTAGCGACCCGTATTTATTAGTTTTACTTTCGAGATGAAAATATCGCGAGTACGCGATACAATAACGATATCGTGCTCGTCTGGCAATTTAGAGAGAAAAATACGGTCCAACCGAGTGATTCATCGAAGATTTGCCACGCTTCTGCAGCTGTATGAATTATTTCGTCGCAGAGAGGCACACAATGTTCGAACGCTTTAGAATCCAACAATCTCGAGGGATTCGTCGACGAGTCGAGGCGAGGCAAAATGAAAGAAAAACACCAGGGAATAGAACTGTCAACGTAACTTCTAACGTAATTAATAGTTCAGGCACCACGCGAAAAGTTCAGGCAACATTTTTCCGCGTTGACGCGACCCTACGATTCTACGAAAGTTGGCTTAATAGGGATTTTCAAATTCTCATCAATTTATTACGAGTACGAATATTCTCGAAAAACGAAAAAGTGTCGCACGGTGAAAATAGGTTGCGCCTCTGCAACCTTTTCCCTCCTTTTGCAATAAGGATTCGGGATATTTGAAATTATTGGAGCGACGTCACGGATCCAATGACATTTCGCCAAAGGTTCAGCCGCGATTTAGGTATTCCTTGGGGTTCTGATTGCATTACCAGCGTGGTCATATTTCTATCCAGGTCCACTTACGGTTTAATAAAGTATTCCTTAAGAGATCGATCGAGTTATAAAACCGGTCACGTCCAGCTTCGCCACCGTTCCTTTCGAATAAAAAATTCTTCGACCAGTCACCCTACATCCAATCATACTTTGTCCTCGATGTCGCTTCGATAAAACGTTGCTGCGAAAAGCAGAATCTAATTCGTGACATAACGATCGCGTAATTAATCCTTTTTAAACTGACTCAAAGATTTCGAATAATAATATTCGACGCCACGAAACGAACTTCGATATGTAAATTGTAGAAAGCAGAGATATCCGCTGATAAAACTAATTGACGTATTCGATTCAAAGGGAAACGATACGCTACAGAATTTCGATGGCTCGTTCAATTTTTACGAATAGCGAACGATGTGTCGTAACATTCTGGTCTACAAAAATAAAGTCCTTGTTCGGAATAAAGGAAACAAAGAAAAAAAAAACGCGAGGAAAAACGTAACATAACCATCGCCACGAGTATCGAGGGGATGCAGATATAAATGGAACGTCGATGTTCCGGTGATTTTCGTTTATCGACAGCAACGTACATTTTTGTAAAGTGACTTATGCGTTCGATGATAAGTCGTTCGTTGCCTTTGAAAAAGGTTGGCCTTATCGGGAGCCAAGAGGAAGAGCAAACACCGAAGATGGATGGCCATTTTGGGAAGCGCTTTTTGCAAATCCTATTTTCTAAACTCCGTATCTCTTACAAAGGAATGATTTTCAGTTACACTTTCAATCTTTCAGAATTCTATAATTTCTGTTTGTAGTTTTATTTCCTATACTCTCTGCGGAGCTCCGATGCTCGCTGCTTCTTACCAATTAATGCCTAATTAACGCAACTCGAGCAAACACCTTCGTACATAATTCTCGTCGGACGAATTCGGGTTAAATCTTTGAGAACGCTATTAAAATTTTATACCGAGTAGAAAGGTCAAATATTTGTTGATCAATTATTAAAGAAAGAAGATTTTTGGGTTGCGAATCGATTATTAATCGATGTGTGCGCAACTTCCATCGATCATCGAGCATATTACTTTCGAAAGTTTGAATCGTCGAATAACTGGACTTCGTAAGTTGAAATACGACAGCTTGGTTATTTCTTCGTTATCGCGGATGGGTAGAATTTCTTGACGATGATTAATTGCCGCGTAAAGGTGGCCGAATTGTCGGTTGAATCTTATTACTCACCGTGTACCCGTCGTAAGTCCACGAACCAAACTTCATGAAGCAAGTCTGCTCGTCAAAGGGAAAGTACTCCACGTTGATCTCGCAGAATGATTTATAGATAGCCGGCGGTTTCCACACGACCTTCCCCGTATGGTGCAAAATCGCCTTGGTCATAATGGTCACCTCGTAGTTGCCATCGGCGCTGAAAACAAAATTAATGTCCACCCTGATTTATGTTGGCACACATTTTTTTTGTCGGTCCGTCACCCTCGTTAGAAAGCGACTTCAATGTCAGATCAGCGATATTGCGTTTACGTGTCATTAATTAATCTCTTCGTTCTTAAGCCCCGAACATTCGAGGCTATCTCTCGCGAACTCACGAATAATTTAATCCCCCTAGAATTTCGGGTAACTTGGACGATTATTCGCGAATGAAAAGTTCTCGATAACTTCGAGGAACTTAAGGACCCTCGATAGACTCGAAAGTTTCCATTCTTCGTTAATTATAGAAAACACCACCGGTGACGAGATACGACACGAGACGATGGAACGCGCAGCCATAAAACTCGACTTCGGTATGCATCATGGTCAACGAACATTTTCCTTTTCGATCCTGCTTTTCGAAGAAATAAAATGTCAATACTCGACAGTGTGTTACGAGCGCTACATTCGAAGCAGCGAATTGGAAAATCGAAAGAAATTTCAGTGGCGCGTCCAAGTGCGACGCAACAACCAAGATAAGAGATAAGAAAATCCAGGGAATAAAGAACGAAGGTAAGCAGGAAAAGCGCGCGTTCTAGAAGCTACAACGGATGCTAGGGAAACGGAGCTTCGGAGGAATAAACTCGACGAGATAATGCGGTTGGATTTCTAATATAATACGCGCGACTGCAGCTGCAGCTGTCGTTGCTGCAACTGCACTTGTTGCGCTATATTCGCCGGACCGTTCTCTTTTATTATTAGTCGCTTACTCGGTTTTCTTCCTACCGTACAATTTCCCTCTGGTCGATGTCGCGTTCTTTGCCACTTCAATTGCGGCCCTTTTAACTGCTATGTCTTCAACTTTATCGTCGCGCTCTTTAACGAGCGATTCACGTATCGTATTTTTCTTGTCGCGATAGGAACGTATCGACAAATACATTCGCCGAATAATAATTGATACGCGTGAAAATTCCTGCAACAGGGTGGCAACAAAATCGTGACTACCCTCGGAATAAAGTCTCCATTCTCACGCGCGCCATTCCTTTTAACGAAAGCAAACAAAACGTGCGAGCAGTCGGACGTAGAATCACGGCGCCGATACAATATCGAGCACGATTACTTCCGCGAATAGCAAGGATTCAATAAATTCCCTGTTAGGAAAGCGCTGTTCGCGACAGCCGACCAGAATATGGAAAATCAGTGGGAAAGCACGTTTTGAATTCGAATATGCGACTACGCTCTACTCAGCGACAGGTGCGCGTGGCTCGCAGCGGATCGCTTCGAGGATGAATGAACGTTGCTGGGAATTGAGGTTGCGCACGTGTAATGCGAAATAAAGCCAAACGACTCTGGCTTTTTATCGCGTCTGACAAAATATATGGCCCGGCAAAACATGTGTAAACGAATTGTTGACAAAACTTATCGTCTACCCGAACTTGCTCCTTTTCTCGCCTGTTTGATCGATGCATTTTGATCGGAATCGAAATTGTTTCGTCTAATAACTCTAAATGAAATACTGGACAAGATACTTCTATGACAAAACGCAGTTTTATTTCTGGAACATCGTTTCCACCTCGTACAGAGTAGTACGCCAGCACGGAGATAAAAAAGCACGTGTCAACTAGCCTAAGCGTAGAAAATTGTTCCAAGGCAACGAGCGGAAGTCGTCGTTCCCGAGCATTCCTTGTTCAGGATTCATCCTGACAACGAGAACAATGCGTGAACAGGACAATAATTTCGTAGCGAAAACACAGGGGCTGACATTTTCAACGTCTCCGTGGATTTCTCGAGCTTTGTTCTTGGCTTCTCTTGGAGAAACGTCGCTGCTTTTAAGTGGACGTCACGTAATTACAAATACCGTAGACACGAAGGAGAAGACCGGGTACCGTGACGAGAGACACCGGTCCTGTTGCTGGAACAACTTTTGAGTAGATGCTTCGGGGACTGAAAGATTCATTTTATGTTAATGCCGGTTCTTTCGAACTTCTACTGGCTGGCTGATTCAAGTTGGATGGACTACTGAATATGTCCGCGTTGGCTTGGTGACAAGAAGTTTGTTTGGGGAGGAATAATTGCGACCACAGAAAGTCTTCTGCGGACTTTCTAATGCGTTGCTAATGGTTTTTAAACTTAACATCCTCGCTGGGAATGACGTGTCTCCGTTGTGCGAAATTTCTCCGCGCAAACTCAATTTTCGACAACAAATTTTTCTACTCGGACTAAATAGTCGGCAAAGTAATTCGATGTAATCGTAAGAAGTTTTAGAAGCAAAGGGGAACAGTGGCGGGGTAATACCGTAGCAAACCCCATAACCGTCGTACGCAAGAAATCTCGTAGCGGGATGAAAGAGCAACGACTCCGAAAGTCGCGCCAAAGAAGTTTCGGATCTCTCGATTAATCATGTTTTTTTTACGGGTCCCGTGTCGGTTCTTGCGACCAGACGCCACGTAAATCTTGAAAGTTGACGTCCCTTTTAAGCGCTCGTCTACTCGACCGACGTCGAACACCATAGGAAAAAACCACATTGTCCTCTTCGCGAAGGACATTGAATTTCCCGGTTCCAAATCCTATCTCCTCTCGACGTTTTCCATTTGTTATTTCAACGCGAATTTAAATCGCGAATTCGTATTGCTTAAATTGTCAATGTATTTAACCTTTCCTGCCTCTCGTTTTATCGAGACTCGAAATAACATTTCACAACTGCGCGTTAACAAGAACGCGAATTAACATTTGTTTAATTTTAATCTTCCCCTCGTCTATCATTCCACAAAGGACATTAGTAAAATTATTTTACGGAGTACGGAGATAAATGTATTTAACGTTCTCGCGACTGCACCGTGATTTTTACGTAAACGTACATATAAAACAGGCGAAATGTACAAGCAGCGTAAACGATAAAATATACATTCGCGTGTACACTCTATGTATTTTCTTCTTTTCGCGCGTGTACACCGTTCGTTATACCGAGGCGTAATATTCGCAGTCAAGACTGTATTAAAAACGCGACGTTTTATTCAGCGGGTGAAACGAGACGAACGTTCCAGTCGGATTTTGGGAAATTATTCATCGAAATTCATCGCAGCCTCGCGAACGGATCTCACGAATTATCCAAAAGAAAACACCGAAGGAAAATGGTCGAAACTCGCGTTCTTTACGGCGGTGCCGCGAAAGCGATTCAACGAATTATTCCGCGTTCCCTCGAGCGCGATACCCCGTTGGGATTAAAAATAAAACTGTCGAAACCGTGGATTCGGGGTGACCACCCTCTCCTTTCCAGGGTCGATGCACCCTCGCGCTCGGAATAAAGGAAGAACGCGTATCGAAGTTGGGAAAACTTTGGGGTCGGGTAAAGGGGATGGAGCATGTATCTCTTCTTAAACCTTGAGATTTAGTTTACCATTGAGCGTGACTGTTGGGGTGGAGTCGAAGGGTGGAACGTTCACGGGTGGCGTGGAAACTGTTCTTTGCTTAGCTAACGTTGCTATATCTCGCTAGATTTATCGAAATTCCCGGTAGTACGTGATCCGCTGGAAATTACTGGCCCCTTGCCGTCTGCGAAACTAACTCGAACGTTATCGAAATACCTGTTATTTAACTAACCGTGAAATTTCTTACGTAACTCGAATGTCAATCCGCTTAATATTTCGCTGGAATATCCAAAGTATATTCCGGAAGATGTACGACAAGGGCAGGAAATAAAATTGAAAGAATCGGAGGGAGAAGGTCTGCGCATTCGCTCGGTACGCTACTGAACGTACCGCGAGATGGGCACGGTCGACGGATCGATATAAGTTTCGTGGTAGAACGGGAAATTCTGCAGCTCGTTTTTGTCCTTTTTTCGCCGAGGATCCTACGCTGCACCCGTTTCAGCCAATTAAAATCGCACCGGCGATAAATTCGCGATCGCACCAACGTAAAATACATGGAACGAGATTAGTACGGATCATGGTTCTTTACAATTAAACTTAACGTTTCGTCTGTGCGAGCGAGTTTCTTCGGAACGAAATTCATGGTGAAAGTTTATCTCCGGTGTAAAAGACATCTCTATGGTTCTTCGCTCTTTACTTCTTTTTAGAAAGCGATCGAAATCATAAAGCAATTCAATTTCAGGAAACTTTATGGAATCGACAATTTGCGGCCACCTTTTCACCTCGTCGAATAAAATAACTCGGTTAGGTTTACCGACCCCCTTTACGGATTACCAAAGTTCGAATAATCCTGAAACGAAAGTTAACGTTAATTCGTTCCAGATATCGCGCCGTGATAAAATTTAGACGCGTAATCTGTTAAAAGTCTGCCGAGTCGCGATACGTATCCTTCCGTTCGGCATCGTACATTTTGTTGAAAACTGTGTCGGTGTAAATCTCAATAAACGATGCCGGGGAGCACGTAGGAGCAACCTTTATGACGTAAAAGCAGGAGTTATCGGGAAAAATAAATCTTACGTAGTGACATTTGGATTAGCAGATGCCGAGATGGATGAATGGGTTTCGGTCGCGGAGAGGAATCGTAATTTTTACCGGGTCACCGTCGGAATTTGCTCCGAAAAAGATTTCTACGTCATTAGTCGCGAACAATTCTATGGAATAAAAATTTCATCGACCGATAACTAAATACATCGATAACCGTGAAAACGGCTGGTCGTTTGCAATTTTTAAATATTCAACAGGAGACCTCCAGAAATTTCTATTTCGCGAGCCGGTCCCGTTTCATGCAAATACCGTTCGATTCGCATAATTTCGCGCGGCGATCCACGGCACGCGAAATTGAAAAACCGCATCCGTCGAACGTTTCGCGTTGCTCGCGAAAAATGTAACCGTTGCAAATATTTTTATACATTTTTTTCAACCTTTATGCGGGGTCGGGCCGCGGATCGAATGGTGATTTCCAAAGTTTCGAGTCGTAAATCAATCGAACGAAATTTCTAAATTGCCACGAACAAGCAGTCGCGAGCTCGTTCTCCCGTTCGGAAACAATATTGGCGAGGTCAGTTGGTCGAAA